TCTCCCAAGTGCTTTAATTCCTAGAACTCTTCCCAAACTATGCATGTGCCTTCATTGCATCAAGTTCAACTTTGTATTAATTGCACTGAGAGTATGTTTTGAAGGAGCTATTCTCTGTTCAGAATGTCACCTTTTCATTTAATTTCTCTGAAAATTAGAGCTGGAAAGTATCCCTCTCTAATTTTAGTGAAATACTATTTCATGGATGTCAGGATATTGCCCTTATATTGAAGGCTGACTTACAATTGGTAGAGATAAAGTTACTCAGGATTATTAGTTTCTATTTAGCCTTATTTATCAGGAGATATCAGAGCAGTCCAGAAATTTTCAGACCATTTATCTGTTTACAGATGAGGAAATTGAGATAAATGGGAGTTTTGATCAAGAAAGATTTGTCATGACATACATCCTATATCGTTTCCAGGGGATAGTCTCTGGAAATGTGTGGAGCAGCATGACTGCTATGCAGTCTTCAGGAGCAGTGTCATGCTAGAGGTGTCTTAAAACAAAAAGCAATGATAAGGGAAAACCTGGTGGATACCTTTATTTATTTTTAGTCAGTTACTAAGGTATATACTCTGTTGAGACTCTCTCTAGACCTTAACAGCCTAATTTCCAGCTCTGGGGCACATGAACACCTTTCAGGAGTAAAGGTGAATGTTGCTGGAGTCACAAACCTGGGCTCTGCTGATTCAGAGATGCTGCTTTCTTCCAGAAATCTCCCTGCTCTTGCAGGTTTTTTTTTCTAATTAATGTTATGTGTTGACAGAAGCAGACAGACCACAGGAGGGATTTATTTGGCCTCACTTGCATACCTGGACGTGATACCAAAGAGTAAGCTTATTTTACAGTTAGAAAACACCAGACATCTCTAAAGGACTTGCTTCACTTGGACTTCTTTGTGTGGTTTGCCCTGTAGGGGCTACCTGTAAAGCCTTCAGTTGATGTCTCAGTCTCTGGAAACTAAGGTTAGGGTAGATGAGTTCAGATGACTATAACCCTAATCTGGTTCAGGTCTATTTTTTATCATGTACTTTTCTTTCCAAACTCTGAAGAAAGCTAGATCTATTTATATTCCTTAAGGGTGAAGGTAAGGCCAGCTCTTGTTCCAGGAGTCGTTAAACATGCTAAGCATATTAGCATTTTGGTACCAAAGAGCAGTGCATTATTGAAAGGAATGTTCCAACAATACCTGCACACAGTGTGACCCAAAGCAGAGCAGCCACAGAGTGTGAAATGGACACCTTGGCATGAGACCAGAGCAGAGGATGAGCTTTGGGAACACATCTAATACACCTCGACCACTGATGGGTGTTTCTTCCATGGGACCAGTCTGCAGCTAGAGTTAAACACCTTGTGCAATGCATTTAGATGTATGATGTAATAGTTCATACCACACACTGCAGTAGGTCCTCTGCCCCATGGGGTTCACTGCTGTGAGACAGGGCTACCTGATAAATTAGTTACAGGGACCAGGAAGCTCTTTATAGGAGAGAACAGAACCAAAATGCTTGGTAGAATGATGTGATGGAATAAAGGCTTTCCAATTTACTTGGACAAGAATGTGTGGGAGCAGTATGTGCTGGGATCTGTTGCAAGTATTTGGTCTGGGAAGTAGATGCTGAGAAAATCTTTATTCCATTCTTGCTCCAATTTCTCTGAAGAAGCACATAGTGGATAGGAGGTAGGTGTTTCTGTCTGATCAGGTACCTGATGACAGTTATTAATTTTGCCTTCTAATAGGATATTGCTTTGTGGAGCAGAAGCACTTCTGGTATTTTTTTCCCCCTGCTCACTTGGGGGATAAGAGAAGGAAAGTCAGTTGTACTGAGCTCTTGACAGTTCAGAATTGAAGTATTTTTAACTCCAAGCTCTAAGAGCAGGTACAAATTGTAGCACATGGTACACATAGGGATTAGATAAATCTTTTGTCTTTCTCATTGATTATTTTCTTTTTTTTCTCTTTTTCAGCACCTGCAATCTCCTCTTGAATGTGATATGGTCTGTCATTACAAAGACAGGAATTATGCTACCAGTTTTTTTCTTGAAGTGCAATTTATTATGAGTCTGTAATGATCTAGGACTTTGGCCTCATTCTATCTAGTTCATCACACCTTTCCTGAATAATATGGACCTTTTTCTTCACTAGTTGCAGCTGCTGTGTTCATGCTGTGCACTGGTCAATGCACCAAGTTGGGCTTTAACCTCTCTATTGATTTTACTATTTTCTTTTAGCAAATGGAGATGAGTGCTAAGAACACTTACCCAGAATCCTTTTTAATCAAATGTATTCATATCTTAGTCCTCTTTTAACTATTGAATTTGTGCCACTTAACTGGAGGCAGATGCTATGCAATTATTGCCTTTCACATCCAAAATTAAGAATTCTGTCAATTCTTGTTAAACATGGATCAATTTGGGGTAACTGTGATTGCTTGACTTTCTTGTACTGTGCAGATATCTTTCAGTTCTAATTTGACCATTGAAAACTAGAGTGGTCATACGATAATATGAATAGTATATTTTTGGAAAGGGACTCTCAAAATGAATCCTGGCTGAATATTTGTCAATTATTTCCAAATGAAATTTTGTTGAATTTATTAATGATTATCTATAATTGTTTTTGCATAAATGAATTTGGAGAACTCTGTTAAAATTAATGATGTTTACTAAAATTACATATGAGGAGAAAATGAGATAATGTTAAGGATATACACACTGGCACAGGACTTGTCCCTAGTCTCATCATATTAAAAAAATTATAATTTGCCATGAAATAATTATATTCAATTTAATTCAATTTTGATTTCTCTGAAAGGGTGACTGTTTTCTACCCTATAAGATGTTGCCCTGAAAATAAGTTAGTAGTCACAGCAAAATTCAAACACTGTTTTCAGATGGTGAAGCTCATATCCCAGTTTTTTAGTTCTTTCCTCTATGTCATTGTTGATAATAACTGGTGCTACAAAAACTTAATGGATAATTACTTAATGCAATCCATTTTCTGCTAAGCAAATAACTTTCTGTTCACAAGAAAAATGGATTTAAAAATGCAAAACTTTTCTGGCACTGTTTCAGAGCCTCTTTGGATCTCTTTTGAAGGCTTCTCTTTTAAAAATCCTAGATTGAATATCTACAACTTTTTCAACAGATTTGTGCAAACAAGTTGAAGTCTGAGTGGACAATCTTTTTTTACTTGCAGGAAATATGTTTTGTCTTCCCTTAAATGACATTGATTAGGCTAAGCCAGATAAATCCAGCTTTTACGTAAATTCAAGCAGTTTTTTATTTTAACTGGCTTTGGTTTGTTTTGGGCTTTTTTTCCTTTTCTAAACCTGTGTGCTTGCTAAAGTAATGTTGAAAGCAGACATAGTGCCTGGCTCTGCTTGCTTTGCTTTCAGTCTTTAGTTTCTCTGCATTTTCCCTTTGATTAGTGCTTTTCTGACATTCTTCATGTTTTTACCAGTTTGTACTCTTCATTCTCTCTTTGCACCTTCTTTTTTGTTTTTTTTTTTTTTTTCCATTAGTGCTTTTCTGACATTCTTCATGTTTTTACCAGTTTGTACTCTTCATTCTCTCTTTGCACCTTCTTTTTTGTTTTTTTTTTTTTTTGGCTTTTAGGATGTTTTCAGTTCAGTACTGAAGTGTTTGTCCTTTTGACTTTTCCTAAAAGTCCTTTGCTTCTGAGCCATCTTTTTGTCCCATTTTATGTGATTCTCAGAGCTATGAAAAAATGTGGTGTTATTATTATTAGTTGCCAAGAGGGCTGAATTATTGCATTTGTTGAGAAACTCTCTACGTATACATAGCCACACACTTGCAAATTAAATCGAGACCTTTTCTTGGTTTTGCATTTTCTGTTAGATCTTCACTGAAATATCTTTTTTATTCCTTGTTGACTAATAATCCTTGAATAACACCCTAAATATTTCCTGAATATTTGATGCATTTTTCATTTATTTACACTCATAACAGATTGTATGGGGATTATGACTTGCTTGAGTTATGCAAATTTGCTTCTTATTTATGGTTTAGAGCATATTAAAATGGAAATGAACACCAGATTCTGTAAAAATTACCCTTTGACTCAGGGAAGGTTTATACAGATTTACACTACAGGCAGATCAGTACAGCAGTTTAGACCTATGCCTAGGAATTTTAATAAAATGGGAGAAAGCTGAAAGATGAGGAAATCCTGTCATTCTGAAGTACACCAGTATGAGGAGGAGATTTAGAAGCTACAAAGGAAAATAAGAAATAAAATAAAATACTTTATATTGGAGAAAAGGAATTGGAAAAGAAAGCAGCTGAATAGCACAAACATTTATGCCTTTACACATGTAATAATGTAACATTATATAGCATAGATTATTGGTTTTGTGGGGTTTTTGGGATTTCTTTATATATAAGATTCTAATCTAAGCTCTACTTACAGAATGGAAGCAACAACTCATCAATATACATTCTTGAGGAGTATATATATCAATGAACTCAATTAATTTATTCATGTCTCTACTTTTCATCAGGAAGTTTTCCAAACAGCTCTATGGCCTGAGGACAGAGCATTAAAACAAAGCAGATAAAATGATGTCCACAGAAATAGTGATGAAAAGGGTGGAGTTGAACCAAATGAGCTGGAAAATGCTCTCTAGGCAGAACTGAAACCTTTATTACAATAAACTTGTGCCTGCCTCTGGTGTTGGAGATAATTGGAAGTTGCATCAGACCTTTCACTGCTCGCCTTCAGGTGGTGGTGGAGTCGTAGTCTTTGTACCCTGACAAGAGATTTCTTACATTATGAAAATGTGGATCTGCAATGATTGATTTGCTTCCAGGCAGAGCTGCCTGTTTCTCTGTGCAGGTACTGCAGCTTTCCAATCAACATACTTTAGTTACAGAGGTACAGCTTGCCTTAATTCTGCTCACCAAAGCTCACAGGCAAATTGGAGTTATGCTCAGCAGAATGGGCATTCCCTTTGCTTGACTTCAGGAATTTGAGGATGAAGAAATCTCCAGAGCTGCTGGCATCAGTTCCTTGTTACAAGCTGCCACTTGTGAAACTGTGTGATCCTTTTAGTAAAGTAATACAATTCTGTCATAAAGCAGAATTTTTTCATCCCACTATTCCTATTAAAGCAGTGCCAGGCTTACATAATTGTCAGCCTAATTTTGTCTAGTTCTCACCACCATTGCCTTGGGCTGATACTGTCCTTTAACTTTTGCAATCATCTCTTCCTCCTATCTCTCCATCCCCTGGGTTTGGGGCATCTAAGGTGCTTAAGGAATTTCATTAAAATACTTTCTCTGTTTCCATGTGATGCTTGGCTGAATGGAACAGGTTGATTCAATCTTTTCTCACAAGGCTGTCTGAACCTCTCCCCCTCCCCCTCCTCAGTTTGAAGATCCTTGAGTCATGTGTGTAAAAGCATTGCTAGAACCAGTGTGTTTTGGTGGGACACAGAAACGTCGTGAAACATATCACTAAACATATTACTACTTCTATTAAAGGACTCCATCAGTACAAGAGACAAAAGTCAGTGTGTTGATTTACAATCCCTTTGATGGATAATCAACTTTGTATTTCTAAATTGCTTTCTACATTTGATGCACAAACTCTTCATAAGTGTTGTAAGTATTTGCCAACTCCTTCTGAACAAAGAGACATCTTCATGAATGTTGGTCATTTAGTAATTCTACTCTGTTTTCCTGTTATTTTCTTACCTATTTTCAAACCATTGGGCAATAAATCCAATCAGTAAGTTAATGATATACAGTTACTTGTATAGCATGTGCCAAAACCTTTTTAGTCATAAAACAATATTATAATTCAGTTAATTATTATCCCAAGACACACCAGGTTGAAATTCACCACTTCACAGAAGCCATATTTCCCTTAAGCTGTAGATTAGGAAAGTGAGGTTCTAAAAACATCTTTCAGAGATATGTGTGCAAACACAGCTTGGTCAAAGACCCTTCATGACCATTATTAGTCAGTTAAAGTAAATATTTTCCAGTTGAAAACCTGGATAAGTAATATAGCCCATGAGCAGACTCATATACTTTTGTGTGTTATATTTCTTTGCTCTGGTAGATACTCAGTCATCTCCAGGGGATGGATGTCAGCGTGGCCATGGCTCCTCTGCCCCAGCTGGAGAGCTGTGCATTTCCCCCAAGCAGTGTGGAGCCAGCAGTGCTGAGAAACAAGGTGAGGCTCAGTGGATTCAGCTTCAGTGCTGTGCAGTGTGACAGCTGAACATGCCAGCAGAGAGAATCAAGGGGGATATTTTCATGTTACACAAATGTTTGGGAATTGATTTTGGGTTTTGTCTTGGTTGTTTTTTCACTCTCTTCTTAATTTGATTTTTTAAGAAAGTTTCTTCCAGCTTCAGTTTAAGTTTTCCTGCTTAATTTTCAACATCTGTAAAGTGCAAGTCTCTCAGAAATCTTCATAGGGATATTATGTAGCAAAGCAAATGTCTCCTCATCCACACAAATTCAATGGAGATTCAGCAAATAATACTTTTTTCCTTAATTAGCATTAAAATTGAGATAGAATTCAGGTTTAATCCAAAATACCTAGACCAAGGTATAAGCAACAAATTGAAAAAAATAACTGAGAAAAGGGTGACAATTTTCTTGAAGTCATGAACTGATTATCCTTGTTTAGTCTTTGTCACATCCAGAGGCTACAAACACAGTTGCTGCTGTTTCCCTTAAGGCATGGATCTAAGCACCAAGATTTTTACTGCTAGTGTCTGAGTAAATTTGCATCCGAATTCTACTATTTTCAGAACACTGTGCTTCAAAACAATACTGCAAATGGTTTCAAATGATGTATGTGATAGTCCTTCTCCTTGAGGACTTTTGTACTGGAGCCTAAAGAAGAACTGGGATTTATAAAAGATAATTATTCTAACTAAAGGTTTATCTAAGTTCTTCTATGCACTACTGTGCAACAAAAAAAGCTACCATATTTGTTGTGATTTTAAGATTTCACTTTAAAATATAAAATAGATTGTCCTTACATGAGCATGTGTCTTTCTGTGAGTTGTGGAAAATGTTAATTAGACCATGTTAGCGATCACTGAATTCAGATGAAATATGTGAGAAAGAGCAGTAACTTAAATCCAGATTCTTCAAATTGCAATTATGTGCCCATGTACATGTTGTTTTCTTCCAACAGAACTGTTTTATCCAAACAGGACACAAAGGTCTGTTTGGATTAGGAGTTTGGAATCAATTCTAGGATACTTGATACATACTCCTCTGCTAATAAGACAACTGTTGAGACTGTAGTGGTTATCAGTACATTTTTTAAGTTTATTGTGCTGTACAAAAGTGTATTAAATGGTTAAGGCTGGAAAGTCCTGTTGAATTCCCTGACATGTGACTAGCATGTCTCAGGTTAGTAATTTTTTTGTTCACTTGCACAGGAGATGGTTATGCTACATTTCACTGCATAGCCTTGAAATTGTGTATGGTTTCCCTAGAAAGGGCATTTATTCCAGGCTGCAATTGCTATCATGATTGCAGAGTATGGAGGAGGAGATGCATTCTTCCATCTCTTTTCTGGAGGCTTCTTACCCTTGTTTGTTGAGAGCATACAGCTATAGCAAACTCTGAAGGAAGAGAAATTTAAGTTTGCTCCAAAGACTAGTTTAGAGCCTATGGGCTCTGTGAGACCTAAATCCCAAATCATGTTGTGTTTTAAGTATGGATGAGCAAGAGGTGTAGAACTTGGCTCTGAGTGACAGGCTGTGGATCCTGGGACTGCCCTGGGTCACTCCAGGAGATCAGTCAGCTGTCATCATAAAGACACAGATTAGGGTGTCAAGGTGAAGATTCGTCCTGTGCCACTCTTACTTCTGATTTGAGATTATTGCAAAGTCATTTTCTGCTGAGGTTTTAGCTCCTGATCTCACGCTGATGACAGGTTCCTGCTCTTTTCTATAGGCTCTAATCAAATATAAGGAATTTTCTGCAGAGAAAATAAAGAGAAGTTGGAATTTCAGTTTATGTTTTTTTACTGTTAATTTGGTCTTCACATTGCAAAATATTGACCAGGAAATGAGTGATTACTAACTACTCTTAAAAATATTTTGATCCTAGAATATCTCAAACAGAGATTTTATACATGTGCACACTTGAAATACAACCTTAGATTGTAGTCTCTTTCTGCAAAACTTGGAATATTTCCTTAGAGTTTATTTTAAATATTTGTTTTGTTTGCAGGAAATTCTTAAAAAATTATCTAGAACATCCCACACATTTCTTCCTTCTGGACTTTTCCTCTTTAAGCAGTGACTTTATCATCATAATTGTCTCTTCCAGCAGATTTACATTGGTTTGCTTTCAAGTTATATTTTCTGCAAAAATGAATATTGCCTTGGAAAATAACAATGAAGGATCAAGGATTTTTGTTTTATTATTATTATTATTTAAAAAGATGATATTCTTCCTATTTTGTTTATATTGATTTGCAATTGTTTTTTCAGTTATGAGAAAATTCCTGAGGAAATATTGAATGTGATTTGGTGAAATCATGTAACATGAAGCAGGTATGCTTCAGCAGTGTTGAACCACTGGTGTGCTTTTCAGCCACTCAAACAACTAAGGAATAAGAGCAGCAATAAAAAGCAGCAATAAAAACAAGCCAATCTGCACATTAACTTGAGTCTGAAATGCTCTGATTAATTTTTTTCCTCTTTCTCACCTTGTAATTAATTTTTGCAGTAAACTGATGTGAGTATGAAAGGCATGAAATTGAATATTGTAGTGTGACTATGAATGCTGCAGTAGCAACTTTATTTAAAATGATTAGTGAACTGTGATAATACAGAATAGACCAAAAGTATTAGCATAGACCAGGAGTGAGCCCCAGTTTGAGAGGGAGCTTGAAGGGATTGTAGCTCTCGTATCTTACCAGAATCCCAATTAGAATCAAGGATCTTAACCCATCTTCTTCTGCTGTGTGAGAGGAAAGGCAGGGGAGCAGAAAGTTTCCACACAGCATATGAGATCTAGAGAGAGTCCCATGCACTAGCCATTCTGCTTGGGCTGAAGTTGCAATAAGTTTGCTCTTTACAGATGCATCTGCTCAGGCATTTTGTAAAAAATTAAATCCTTCCACCACTACAGTAAGTGGTTCAGGGAGTGGGGCTGTCCAGCCTGTCAGGCATATCCAATATTCATTCAGACTGGATGTGATGCATAAAGGGGTGTCTTACACCAGTGCAGAAGCAAACATCTGTTCCTCCATCCCAGTAGGCATTTATTTATCTGAACACATACCCTCCCCAAATTCCCAGGTTGAACTGGCACACAAAACTGGGTCCTGTGCCAGAAAGACATGTTTGGCCTCCCTTTTCTGACCTGTGCTGCCCCACAGGGGGATGTGGAAAGGAGAAAAGTAGCCTTTCCCCACCACATTCCTATGTGCACTGGGAGAAATGAGGCAAAGGCAAATGGAGCGACATTATCATTCTGAGGGTTCGTTTCAGCTCTTTGAACAATGTGGTTTCTGCTTTAATACAGCAGCTTAGTAATGATGATGAGCAGTGGCAATGTTTGGAGTATGTCAGATGATGAGTCTCCCCTTTCTGTTGTTAGGGCCTGAGAGGTTTTCTGAGAATGGGCTTACACCCCAAGCTGCCAAAAAATGCATGTTGCAAAATGATGAAATAAACAGCACTGGAATATAAAAGTATTTTTTAACAACTGATTTCTTCCTGGTGTTGTCTTTGTTTTTCTATGCAAAGAACCCTGGACAAACAGAGGATATACTGATATTTCTTACCTGATAGATGCAGTGTATTTTAAGAACAGCCCCTGCATGTAAACTATGCTAGCTTGAAGAATTTCCTACAAATTGTTATCTATAGAAATATTTGTGAAGAAATTGGCATACATTATAATGATATATATGGACTAGCTTGAATTTGGTTTGGTAAAGGGGAAGCTTGATGACTCCTTTTTTTTCAGGACCCAGTTCAGAGTGTTTCTGTGTGCTAACTAAACACCAAGTGATGGTGAAGACATATTCTTTTACTTCTGTGTCTGAGCTTTAATTTTTTGCTTATTTACTTCTATTCAGGTTCTTCCTGTGACAAGTGTGATTTTGAAACCAATCTATGCAAAGCTGTTCATGGATTGAATGGATGGATAAGAAGAAATGGTCAATCTGACATGGGACCACCATACTCTGACCACAATGGGAATGAGAGCAGTAAGAATCCTCATGTTCTTTGAAGAAATTATGGACTCTTACAAATGATGTAGTTTTCTATTTTATTTGCTTAATTTTGCTAATTTCCTGATAGTTCAATTCTATTCTACTTCTTGTTTTCTGAGCACTTTTTGCCAGGTTTTTAGGTTACAATACCCCAGAATTCCAGAAAAGAAAAAAAAAAAAAAAGACAAAAAACCCCCACAATATTCCAAAAAGTAATTCTTGTTATAATGGAGGAGCAAGTAATCAGTTACATTAGTCATGTTTATCTACCTGAGTGATATTTACCTGTTTTGGAGAAATTAGATGATAAATTCCATCTTGAAGGTTGCAAAGTTTAGAAATTTTGAGATGCATTTTCATCTTTTCCTGGATTCTTCACCTCATTCCCAAGCTGTGATTATCTGGGAGTGTGGAAATCTGTACTGTTCTGAAGCAGCAGCTCCTACACAGTACATAAGCCACTCAACAGGTGGAAATACCATATAATGATTAGTATGAATTGGTGGTTTAAAGGTGAATGCATGGAAAACTTGCTTTTGATTTTTAGAAATCAGCATATGAAAATGGTGCAAAACCTTAAAAGAAATTTAACTTATGTAGTCAGCCAAAGTCAGCAAAAGATTGAGAACCATCATCCTGAAGTGTTTGTTGAAGAAAAAGCAAACTATTCAGAGATGTGTATGTTCACATTCATTTGGTTTTGGTGCTCAGTCAGCATTGTATCTGCCAGGCCTGAATTGTGTGGCAGCCACTTTTAATCGAATTTTTTTGTTCAGGTAACAGAGAGTTCTGTTCCTTGTACCTATTCAGCTTTCTGAGAGGTTTTGTACTCAGATCTGTGAACTGAATAGCTAAGGAGATTTAAATGCATTTGGTTACTTTTATTTTCTACCTGGGGAATGCCTAAACTGTACTTTCATTTTCTGAATTCTGGTTCTAATTGCCCAGGAAACATTTATCTCCTTATGGCAGTTAGTCAGGTTTTCCACTGCTGGGAAATCAGTTTTATGTAATCAGTTTTATGTTGATTCCTGCTTAAAACCCAGAAAGTATTGTATGCTTACAATTGAGCAGAGTCTGTTCCCCAGCAGTGTCAAAGGGAAGAATTCCTGCCATTAGGATAGTACACACACATTAGCAGAAGAACAAAGATCACTTGGTAGGTATAACTCCTTTGAAGATTTATGTAATCATTTACTAGAACTGAACATGGTTTTTTAGCTGTCTCTCATGGTTCTTTTTTTCTCACTGAAAACGCTGTTGAACAGACCAGTGACAAGCACTTTTCAAAAATGCCAAAATCCAAACCAAACACAACCTGGTTTTTTACTACATGAAACCTATTGTCTATGCAGAATTCTAATGTAAACTCACCCATTCAAAGAATTTCTTAAAATTACTGTTCTTGCTTCAGCTGTGTAAAACCTAAAATTCCTGTGGCAGGTAAAACATAACCTTGTTTTTGAGGCTTAGGTACATTTATGTTTAGGGAACTAAAAGAAAAGAAATCAAAATTTTATGGAAGCAAACATGGAATGGAACAGATTGGAATTAGGGACAGGGCTCTGCAGAGGCACCAAGCCATCTGTTTTGGGTAGGATGAATATCCTTGCAGCTGGCAGGCTCTGAAAATGCTGCCTGAGCAGTCAAGAAAGGTCTAAAACCAAGGGGAAGCATGACCATGGCCCTGGTAGAAGGCTGCAAAGTGCTTTTCTGTGTGGGATTGCTCAGCTGGCTCCAGAATTGAGCCAGGCTTACGGTGCTCGACCAGCGACTTTCCAGTTGCACATGAGGATTTGAGGTCAAGGTGGTTAGCTTAAGAAATTAAATATTTAGATACTGACATATCCTCTGATATTTGGTTTCTGTAGTAGGTTGAGCCTTCTTTTCTTCTTCATTTTTCCCCTTGCATCCTTGAACATCTCTGAAATCTTCACATTCAGGAAATGAAAAATTTTGACTCATATAACATCTCTGAAATCTTCATGTTCAGGAAATGAAAAATTTTGACTCATAATATTTCATATCCTAAAATAGGTTGGTTGTCTTCCATCTTTTATAACATTTGAAACAATACTGTCAGGAAGAGACACAGTCAGTTAAAAAGGCATAACAACAACCATATTTCACTGACTTTTGATGAGCTGTTACACTTCCAAGTGAAGCAAGGACTTGTTATGTAAATGGAAAAACAATGATATCTTTAATGATAGCTTTGAAATGCTGAAGTCAACCAGTTTTATTGGGAGTGTGGACAGGGATACCACAACCTCCTCTCTGCAGTAAGGCAGTTTTCTGAGCAACCAAAAACCAGAGCCCATAAGAACACCACAATTTCCTCTCCCATCTTCAACCATCTCCTTAAATACCTGAACTGTCACAATAAATCTGTTTTGCTAGTTACAGTAGTTTGATGCTTAGGCATGATATATGTGATCTATTCGATACCTGTGGTTTAAAGTATTTGATCAGTTTGCTGAGTTAGTTCTTACTTTGTCCCAAAATTTTGCACTTGTAAGTTGAGTGTTCAAACCACTGGCACATGAAACATTTTAGAGCCCTACTTAAAATTTTAGCAGGAGCATGGAGCAATACTGTGACAATATTTAATACAAAAAAAGCTTGGCACACAATGGCTGCAAGGGATATTAATATTTTCTGGGGGAAAAATCCTAGTTGGCTTTTTAGTTCTTAATTTATGCCTGCACACCTGCCACTTCTTTAACTGTTATATATTTTTTCCAAGTTTCTAAAATTTCTTTTTTTGTTTTTAATTCCTTTTAATAGCTTATTTCCTCTCATTGTCCTCTGAAATGGGATCCTCTTCTGCAACTTTAAGGACAAATGTTTTCCTTCCAACTGGTGAAGAACATGTTTGCCAGGTATTTTGATGTATGGTCCTTGTATTACATTGTTTATCATAGTATTTCCTTCCCTGAAATAATCAGACCTAATTTTTGTCCTAGATTAGATTTCATTATTGGATCAGTCATATGAGTGGAACATTGATGGTGGGGCTTCAAAAGCACTCTGAAGATACTGTTACAAACATCTGGCAAGTTTCAGGAGAACTGCAAAATCAGTGGAAAGAAAATACCATCACAATCAATAGCACTGAAAAGTATGAGGTTAGTAAATTGAGGTTACTGTAAATGGCACTTGCTAAATAGCTTATAAATTGTGGGTCTTTTCAATAGGTCAGAACTCAAAATTTTGTAAATGGAAATTATATTTACCACATTATCACGAGGTAAATGAGAGAAAAGCCATTTGGATGGTCATAGTTGGGATTAAGAAATACTTCTTTTTCTTATCTCTTGGTGGTGTTAAAACTAACACCATACTGCTTAAACTATGCATGTCTCTTCAATAAAACAATTAGGCTCATTGAGTAATAAATTATCTACCAACCCATAGATATACTTGTAGTCTTAAATTTCAATACAGTATTCCCTTAGCCTCAGTCTAACTGTACTGATAAACTTAAGGTTTCATTTATATAGGAAACAGTATTTTTACTGAGATATTGTTTTATAGGGATCCTTCGGGTGACAAACACTGCACTTAACTGTTAATTGTAGCTTTGAGCCTTTGTCACATAACACATTCACAAGGTTTGATTTTACTCAAAGCTGCTGAAAAGCAACGCAAGTGTCTTAGGCTATTTAAGTGTTTTTATATGTGCATTTATACAAAACATTAGCACAGTAAATATAACTTAGGGCTGTAATAGTGTGGATGATGTGCACTCACTCTTATGCATAATACTGGAGGGAAAGTGGTGAGCAGAGAAGAAAATCAGAGGACTTTCCTCCTACAGTAGTTCCTGTGGAGTTGGTTAGCATACAGTCCTGAAGGCATGAAAGCACAACCTCATTTCAATAAAGCATGAGTAACATCATTATGTGACTTGCATATTGTGCTAAAGCATCCAGCAGGATTTGGATTTTTGTAGTTGCCTGCTCAGCCCTTACTGAGAATGTCTGTGGCAAAACAGCTGTGCCTAACTCAACACAACTATCAGTCTTGTTACTGGTCAGTGACTTACCTCTGCCTGATATGGGAGTATGTGTAGCAATCTGAGGTTGTACTGGAAGGGTTTACTCCTAGATTTATTTTTTAATCCTTCATATTACTTGGAAATTACTCTGATAAATTCTGAAACAAGCCAGAAATTGTTCACATTTCCAATGTCCGGTGGAATAATGGCTGAATAAAACACAAAAATCCTTTGTATTCCTTAACTGTCATGATCCTTGCTTGAATTTTAAGGCATTTTATTGTAATTTTCAGATCATTCCTGTTAAATGTTACCTCAGTCTTGAGTTAGATGATTAGGCTATGTATCTGTGCTGACAAGCCACAAATGTGTGAAAAGGCCAAGATGGTAATCCTGCAAAATTGTGAAGTGTGTGATTTGAGTTCTCATACTTCCAATAGAAACTCCATGGACTAGACTGGCATATATTGAAAGGTTTTTCCTCTTGTCTGTGACACTGGTAAATTCCATTTCTCATTGATTCGCTGTTAATCTCTTCAGGTTATCTTTTGGGGGATGGTGGAAACCCAGAGACAAGATGAAACTGTTGCCATTGATGATATTACTTTCAGTGAAGGATGTTCTCTGGCAAGTGGTAAGAACACCTGTTTTTCAGGAGACAGGTCATTTTGCTTTGTCTTTTCCTTGGATTAGAAAAGAAAACACAAATAAAAGCCTTTTGGTATTCAAATGCTTTCTTAACTCCATAAGTGTTTTCTTTTGGCTCATTTTCATTTCCCCAAACAATCATCTGTCTTTTCACATCTGAACAGAGTTACAAAGAAAGACAATAAATACTTTAGGAAATCTGGTACAGTATAAATGTAGGGCTCAGTGGGCAGAAAAGGTCTACTGTTTTTGGCTAAAGAGTTGATGTGTTCCGCCAGCTCAGGGGAAGCTTCGGAGCCAATTTTAGGGAGATTCCCAAGGCACTCGTGTATTGCTGAACGTGTGAAGGTCCTGATCCTCAGCTGTGCAGTGGGGCAATGCTGTTCTGCTCTGCTCCATCCAAGAGCTGTAATGTCAGGCTAGTCAGATCTGCACTCAGATCATCCCTGCGTGTTGGGATTCTTCAGCAAAACATTTCCTATCAACCCAGTGTATTTTCACAGGAAAGGAATGCTACTCCTCCTAGCATAAATGAGATTGCTTGCTGCTATGTATTACACAAGAGCATTGCCCTGTGGCACCTGTGGCACATCCTCTGCTGAGCTCAGTCCTGATTCAAAGCACCTCTTTTGTTTTCCTGCCTCTTAGCACACACACTGAGGGTTCAGACTTCAAACTCAACTTGTGGTATGGAAAGCAGTGTTTGGCACAGACCAAACTAGGTTACATGATTGGTTTTGTGTGTACTGGAATCCAAACTAAAACTCTCCAGATTTTGCAATAAGAAAAAAAAACACTGAAAAGAGATGCACAATGTTATTAACAAGTTAAAATGCTGAGCAATTGCAGGTAGGTCATGTTAAGAGCAAGATGCAAATCTTAATGTAATGAACCAAGCAGGCACACATATTTATTTTAAAGGGGTTCTGTACTGGGGAAATGAAATTTCAGGTGTCTAAACTCCATCATATCAGTTTTATCATGTTTCAACTTTTTTGCAGTGGAGAAATATAGACGTACTTGTTTTATAAATATTTCCATACCAGGGCCCATCTTGCTTTTCTGTTTTGTAGAGGTTTTCTAACTGTGTTATTTAAATAGGCAAGGATGCTAACTTAAAAGTCTGGGCATGCATTTCTATGAACTCAGGTAAGTACATAATGTGCTTTCTTTGAAAAACTGAATTTGAAATGGAATATGAAATCAGTCCTCACTGAAAAGGGGACAGATGTGTGATTTTTCCCAGATTCTTTCTGTTTCCTGGAGGATTTCTGCAGATGAAAGTACAATTTTAAGTGGAAAAAGTGCATTGTTAAATTCTAGCAACCTATATAATTGCTTAACCAGTTCCTGCAGGAGGATATAAATCTGTCTGTAAAAATATATTGCCTTTTTCATAAACAATGTTCTTCTATTTAAGCAAACAAAAATTTAAGAAAAAATCAGCCATAGAGTTGAAATACTGTCTCTAAGAGATGTAAAAAAAAAAAGAAAGGAAAAAGGAACAGTTGTATTCACCAGAAATTATAAATACAGGTGTTAAACTTCTCTTATGTGGCAGCTGTGGACCTGTATGGTGTGGCTTGGAGTCTGAGCTGCTGCACTGCTCAGGTATATTCTAATAAAAGCCAAGTTTTTTCCTAACAGCGAAGCACAGGATAAGTCAGCCTCATTAAGTGACATCTAAATGACTCACAGCAGCCCAAAACAGGAGTAAATGATATTAATTTTCTCCCTGAAAGAGGAATGTTACTACTGAACATTTTTCAATAATTAAAACAAAAGGTCAGACTAATGGTTGGTTGAAGTTGAGATAATTTTTTTTTCGAGTCCTTATGGAATATCTGGATAAGTAGACTTTTAATGAAGACCACTTTAGTCATATGAAATTCCTAGTTAAGGCTTGTATTTTTAATGCAGCCTTCATAGCTTTCAATCCCAGTGTAAATGCACATTAGGGATAACCTGCGCATTTGTATTGTTCAGTATGACTGTGCTTTTAGGGCAGTGAGTAAAAGAGCTTAAATTTTTGTGCTTTCAGGAGTTTCTTGACAAAAACTGTGATGGATAAACATGAATGTAATTTCATTGTGCTTTAGAATTTTTCTTCCTTTCTCTACGTCCCCTATCTCCCAAATTGTCTCTTGTCTGCTAAACGTCATGCATTAAAAAAATTACAACCAAACCCCAATCTTCAGTATAGCAATTTAAGATACTCTAGTTTGTAGTTTTCCCCACAGCTACCAAACAGTTTCAGTTAACACTCAAAACCCCCACAGCTCTTTGTTTATACATTTGTGTATGGACTGCAGGAAAAAAAAGTCCTTTAGATGTCAAACAGAAAATACGAAAGTTATTTTCTGAAACATATGTAACACAAAATCTCCTTTAATTATATCTTTAGTAGACCTTCTGTTCAAAGGCTTCATATTCTTATCCAAGTGTCTGCTCTGCAGAGCTCCCTCTCGACTCCTGAAGAATTTTATATCTGAAGAACCTCACTAAGACTGTCCAGATCTCTCCATAGAGATGAAAGAAAGAGCTCCAAGGCATGAAAGTAGAATGCTGTAAGGGGAGAATGAGGCTTTTGTACTCCTTAAGTCACTTGTAACACAGCAGTGATAAAACTTCTCTGCAAAGCTGTGGGTCCTTGAGGATTTTTTTGAAAACTGACTTATATTTCTTATAATACATAAACTTTGACAAAATTCCGGTTTGAATATTTTAACTGAAAAAATCTCAAACTTATTTCCTTAGTTAATTCTAATCCTAAACCTTTAATATTACAGACACAGATGTTTGAGATGAACTGCTACAGGGATGGGAGTCAGCAAAACCAAAATACTAATTTTACTGCTGCAGAATTAAGAGCTGGATAATGAGTATTTTGTCAAAACAAACAAAACCTCAAAAACGTTTACAACTAAATTGAAAATATGTAGAATGAATCCAAATATTTTGTATCAATAATTCAAAAGGGTTTAAAGAAAAGCTTGATTATTTTGACTGTATTTGCAACTTTTTTCAAATGTTGAAATTTGACAAAATCCATCCTTTTCTACACTCTTGCGGAATTTGGCATTTTCCATGGGAAACAAGTATCCATAAGCTCTTTCTCACTTCATACACATGGTTTGAAAAAAGTGCACATGTTTATACAGCACCAGAACAAGGAAGAAATCGAATGTTTGCAGCACCAGCTGGACAGGACATCTCACTGAGGTGTCAGCAGTGTGAATAATACAGTGTCTCTGAGATGAAGCAGACAGTAAAGTCTATGCATACTGACATAAAATTATTTTCTCCATACAGTTAGGAATCTCTGTGTTTTCTCTGAGATACCCTTACTACTGTTTAAATGTCTGTCTTAACCAGGAGTTTACTCTTCTCCCAAAACAATATTACGAAATGGAACTTCCATTACCATAACACAGTCCTCCATAAAATCATGACCATTGCAGAAGGCAACTAGATTTTTCAGGCATGATGTGCCCTTCAAAAAGTTCCTGAAAATACATGGTGATGCATTCAGAAACTTTTTCTCTAAAAAGTGCATTCTGTTACAAGCACTGTGTAGTTTAACCTGTCAGGTAGAAGTGATTTTTCTGTAGCTATCATCTAGAAAAGTAAACAGGTATTTCTTGTTATGACATGCCATTTTTTATGTTTCCTGGCAACTCTCTCTGTAGAAGTGAATTCATGAAGGTTGAGACAACTGGCTAACATAAATAGCACTCCATTGCTTTGAAAGAAGCATCCATCCCAAGGGAAAGATTTCTTAGAATGGTATTGTTAAAGATGGCAGCCTGAAATACTGGACAGCACTCAAGGGTACACAGTGCCTTTGAAGTAACCTTTTGGAGTGGTAGAAATGTTGTCAGTTAGTTCAGTAAGGAGATGTTTCTAATGGGAAATAGTCTCATGAATAATGACTTCTTAAGAAGTTAAGTGATTCTTTTTCTTTGTCTTTTAGAACCACAGACTTCCAGTTTCCATCTTGGCCTATGCGAGTGGCATTCAGGCCAGCTGGCTGAGCCTGCTCCACGGGCACAGCTGCAATCTGGGCATAAGATCACCTCCTGCTCCTTCCTGAAGGATTGCAGCAACAATACTGAAGGTGGGAATTTAAGTTAATTCAAGATTACTAGCCAACAGGAAGAACATGGTGCTTTGTAGGGCAAGGTGCTGACCCAATGGTGAAATAGAAGCAATTTTATGCATTTTGTACATAAATTAGCTTTTGGTTTGGCCATTTAGTAAGGATACCATGAACACACATGCTGGTAAAGCATGAAGTATTTTAATGTAAGGCTTAATGAAATATATTTCAAGTATTCATGACATATTTTAATGCAAGAATTCCCATATTATCTAGGTGAATTATTCTCCAGTTAATTCTTTCTATGATATCTGTGCAAGAATTTGGTGAAATTAAATGAAATCCATCTAAGCCCACAGTCCCTGTGTGTGGGTTTTTTTTCTGTTTTGTTTTGATTTTGACACTTTTTTGATACTTGACAGTTTGACTTGTGTAGTGCTATTCTGTTTGAGTGTACAGTCATGAATTTCACTTTAGCTCTTTAATTAGAAGAACTGTAAAGAAACAATTGTTATACAAAATAGTTTATTACTCTATAAAACAATGAAATTAGCCCAATTGCAATTTTCAGAAGTAAAGAGCAGCACTTGTTTTTGAAGTCATTGTGCAGTGGGTATCTATGGGTTTATGGGAAAGGTTTTTGAAAGCTTAATGGATATAAATGTCAAAGTGTTCTAATGTGAAATGGAATCATCTTGCCAGCTAAGTGTTTGGCTTGTCTACTGAGACTGCCTTCAAAGGGGTTAAGTAGTGCTAGTTGTAATAGTATAATTTGTGATGTAGCTTTGAAAAACTGATAGCATGGAGATTACTGCTTGAACTTTGAACCCACAGAAATGCAGTGCATCTCATTGGCAGGAGCAGAATGAATGCTAAATGATATTTTCATTCTAGACATATTTTTAAAATGAATTTGAGCATGCATTTCAACAGAGTCTAGTAACTGTAAATCAAATTACAAAGGAAGAGCAAGCAAAAGTGCCTGGGTGTGTGCACTATGTTAGGATGAATTTTGTGCATGTTAACATATATGTACGACAGAGAGCATATAGATCAGTAAAGGAGATTTTTATTTCTCACATTTAAAGGGGGGAGAAAAAGTCACACCATCTTCCAGCTTCCACTGGGATATCTAACAAAAATGAGAATTTTCATTTTATTTCATTTCAAACATCTCCCTGAAAGATGTTGTATCAGTGCCATACCTTAACATGACACTTGACAAGGGTTAGTAATGTGTGTGGATTTCCCTTTTACAGCAATATTGTGCTAACAGAAAAGATACTGAAATTCTGTTAGTTGCTTTTCCAGGATTAAATCACAAGCCATGTCTGTGGAAACAGAACATACTTGGGAATATTTGCTGTACAGTTGCTTGGGCTGAGTAGGCTGAATGTATAACTTTGGAGACATTGCCTGTGCTTCCAGGTCATAAAGGAAGAAACAAAACGTGACAAGAAACAAGTGTCAGAACAACACACAATTTTATTCAGCATTAACATTGAAAAGTATTGAAAAATCTGAACTGTGATTGCTTACCTCTCAATACATTCAGTATTTATATTTGTGCAGGTTTGTTGAGACATAAATGAAGAAGCTGAATATTAACTTAAATTCTAAAAGCTAAAGGAATGGTATGCAAACTGAAAACATGCCATGCTTGAGGGCTCAGACTTGCCACGTGAATAGAGATTGACTAAACTTTATTTTCTGATTTTGATCAAAACTTTCACTGCTATAAATAGAAGAGAGGTAAGAAACGAAATTATAAAGCAGAGGTCTAGACAATTACATTTATAAAGAAAGGATTGCCTATAGTCTTTGAATAATCCTCCTTTCCTGGTATTCTTATATTTAATAAAATGCTTTCTGTCCTTGCTGAACTTCTTCTTTCTTTGTTCTTTTATTGCTTCTTTTCTCCAATGTTGTATTGTAGGCAGTTTTTCTATAACTTTTACTCTTAATTTCTCTAGTGTCAAAAGTTCTCACAGAGGTTTTATATTCCCCTGAAATACTGTTCATAAAACACTTTTTTCTTGTTGTTTTCTTCATTGATATTTCATGCACGCTATGTAGTTTCCATAGTTCATTCTTCTTACTTTGGATTAAACTAGTTTCCTACATCTAGGGTGACACTTTAATAAGAAACTAATGAAACAAATTCTCTGCATAAGCAAAAGGAAGATGGAAAAAGAAATCAAAGGAAGTGCCAAATATTTTTAACCCTACATTTCAGATGACCAGTGATAAAAATCCCGCAAGTTTAAATCTAAAAACCCAGTGAAAATATTGGATTATGTTATCCTATTTATTCCTTTTTTTTTTCTTTTTTTAAATTCAAAATTTCACCCAGGATTTGTGAATTTATGAAGTAATTCAAAGAGTAGAAAAAAGGCAGTTCAGATTTGACCTCTTCTTTCCTTAAAAGTGTTGAGTGGGAAGGTTGTAGGACATTGGTTCAGAGACTGAACAGTTCTCTTCAGGGGAAGAGAACTTGCCAGAAAAGTAAAGATCCTGCTCTGTGGCTCAGGGTAAACTGAAGGCTCAGCTGTTACTCTAAAACTAGTAGCATAGATTCAAAGTCACATTGATTCTTAAATAAAAATCCCATGGATTAAAGTGGGAGTAACAAGATTTAAGTCAGAAAATGGTTAGGATGGGACTAAGCAGCTAAATATGTATAGGCTTAGAGGTATCAGCAGAGCAGGACCCAGGCAGGTTCACCAGCCCAACCCAGCTCTGAGAAGACACTGGGGCACCTCAGCAGTTGTGAGCTCTGTTTAGTGGGTTCCAGTGTAGTCAGTGACTGATCTTTCCATAGGACTCCAAGATTTTGCTTAGGGCAGACAAAATATTTTCTTCAAAACTGAAAGAAACAAGACTGGCTAGCTCAAATCTGATTAAGCAGCCATGTGGAGAAAATAAAATACTTTACTGGAAAATATTAAAGTCCACATTTTGTTTGTAATGCTGTTCACTTGCTTTCTTATTCAAATATCATGTTAACTCAATGTTGCCCTGTTTTTAAAGATTCAGGAGCTTGAAATGAAAGAGGGAAAAGAATGTTAATTATCATTAGGCTCAGACACTGGTTTGTTTAATAATGGCATTAGAAAACTCTAAAGTTACATAAAAAATCAGCAGCCTAACTTTGAATGTTGATGCATGTTTCTCTTATGCACAAGGCAGTAGTCATAGAAGCATATGTGCTTTGTTGATGTCTGTCAAAGAGAAAGCTGGGTTAAATCTATAATTTTCCTTGTATCAAGGTTAGCCACTGTGGCATGAAATTACAAGCCTAATAGCAATGAAATTGCAACCACGTATTTCAGTGTAAATCATTGCATAATGCAAAGAGTAAACTGGCAATAAAAGGAATAGAATGTGGTCCTTCATAAAAATGATCATTTCCTTGTGAAATGACACTTTGTCCCTTCAGCTTGAAATTGTGCAACATCTACATTTGAGATAAGTTGCATTTAGAGAAATGAAGACAGAAACTGCAGACTGAAGTCCTTTCATCCATCCTTGTTTATTATTTTAATAGTTGCTTCAGAACACAGCAAAATATTCAGTGACTCAGGAAAAAAACCTGATATATTTGTTAAAAAGTATTTAGCCTTTTTACTTCTGACAACTAAAAGACACTATTGAGGGGGTGAAGTACTCTTTTAGATCTCTGTAGGAATGCTTTTATAAGGGGCAATAGGTCAAGAAGAATGCAAATTGCTTTTCTGCTTCAGATGGAAAGACAATATGCTTCCAACATTTTGTTGCAGAAATTCTGGCTAAGTAAGGACCTTGATTACCTGGTGGAGATGTGCCTGCCTGCTGTAGCAGGAAGGCAGAATGCCTCCCTCTGCTGCCTCCCTTTTTTTTTTCTCTTTTTTTTTTTTTTTTTTAAGAATAACTGTAAAAGGCATGTTTTCTGGAAACCACGGTGTAAGCAGCAAGAAAGACCAGTGTCTGGATGTATTTGTCATTAGGTATTGAATGGCTGAGCTGAATGTGGAACTGCTTATGGCTTTTAACAGAGATACTATCACTGATGTAATTAATGGTTGCTGGGGCTATCTGTGAGTGAAATGAAGATATATATCTATCTTTTTAACAGGAAACACTTACATGGCATCCAAGTCACATTATCAGCAGGGCGACCAGATTTCATTCTTCCTGGGATGGGTCTATAGTTTGATTACGTCAAGCAGCCCTTGTTTTCGTAGACTGAGAAAAGAAATATATTTTATGGAAAAGTGACCTGCTTTTCCTTTCCTTTTTCAGGCTGTTTTCAATGGTTACAAGTTAATGACAATGCATTATATGGAAGTCCTTTTCTAAACAGCTCCATGTGTCATTGTTCCAGCAAGAATTGCCATTTTCAGTTTCACTACTCCATGGCAGAGGGCAGTGCTCTCAAGGCAGTACTTTTCACTAATCAGGTAAGAACAAACATGCATTCATTTCCAAAGGGTAAAGGTGGAGCAGCTCAGGTGTTACCAGACATAAAGGAAGCTGAGAATGAGCCAAATAAGCAGAAAGTTAGTCTAGCCAAGACAGGTGATCTCAACTCAACATGAGCCAAGAAGACATGCCTGCTACTACATGCCTGCCCCTGAGTTAGTTTGTGCAAAACAGTAGTTTGGTACAGTTCCACTGATCTATGCAATTGAAAAACCTGGGTATTTGCCATCTCAGCTATAAACTAATTTGATGGGTGAATGTTCTGCAATAAGATTTCAAAGACAACTCCAGCTATTACAGAATTAAATAAATAGGGGATTTCAGGGGGGAAATCTATAGTGACAGCTTTTCTAGCCTTCCTCCTGTTCTAGAAGTAATAAAATAGGTACTTTTTTCTATGGAGACAAAGAAGAAAGGAAAGTTGTTGATGCAGGATGACTGGAAAAATCATGATTAGACACCTGATTTACTTTGCCCAAGTTTTAGAGCAATAATTTTCCAAGTCTCCTAGCTATTAGTAGATAAAAAAGCCATGTCAAGCTGAAACACAAATGCCAGTTGAGCAATGATAACTATTTCCAACTTTCTCACCTCCCTTGCCTTGTGGAGCCTTTCTGACGTTCGAATGTTCTCTTTTGAAAGTCTGGTTTAATAACTTAATATTGATGCTTTGTACTGCTACTTAATGAAAGCCAGAGCAGTAGAGCTGGTCTCATTAAGTTAATGGCTCTCACATCTTGATGCTGGAGTTGAATTGTTATCCCTCAAGAATAAACACATAAAGGGAGCCTTACCATATTTAGCACTCTTGCAGTTGTCTTTAGGAGGTGGAGTGAAAATGGGGATTAAGGTAACTCACAACAAGACTCGAAGCAGGTACAAAATAATGGAATAATGTTACAAATAAATACAAATAATGCACAGCAATGCATGTATCTGCAGAGAAATGCCCCCCAAAAAAGAAAAATTTGTGTTTTAGCGATGGAATATTGTATCAAAAGTCATGATTGTCTCTGCCATCCTTCAAGTCTGAGTAGGGTTATCTCAGAAAAAACATTGCAGTAAAAAGGAAATATTTTTGCCCATTTTAGCTTTACAAAAAGCTGTTTATTGATAGTAATATATCACAATAAAGGGAATAGAGTGAAGGTATCTTGAACAACTGCTCCCCTGCATCAACAAAATAAATCTTGAGGAAAGGTACTGGCAAAGCAATACTGTCCAGATTTTAAAAGAAGGCTAGTAATGCAAAGAATGTGCTAGAGGCATTAACCCATTTGAACCAAAGAGGTGGAAGAATCTGATAAGCAGGATGAATACTACAGAGAAATCTTGTGAGGAAGGCAAATAATATTATTGGCTTATTAGAGCTGTATATAATCAGAAGGTAATGTCTGCTTCATGGAACAACAGTCAGGTGAGAATTTTGGTGCATCTGAGGTCATTTGCAGATTTTAGTGTGAAAAACAGCCATGGAAGATGTGGATACTGACATGCTCAACTCAGGTTTACTACTACAATCTGTTTTTATTAAAATGAATTTGGAAGAAAGATGGTCATGGGGATGGGTATCTAAGCTGTTACTCGAATGTCAACAAAATTACAGTCTCCAGATGCATCCAATCGAATGGACAGCAAATGTAAAGTGCTCCCAAAAGGTATATAAATGTGTTTGGAGGGTTCATATATGTAGATGTGGGGGAGTACGTCAGATAAAACATTTCTAAAAGCAGACACAACCACAGGCTATGGTTTTGAACTGCCATGCAGTATGGTACCAAGTACATCATCCTTTTCTGCGTCCATATGTGGCTTCTGTAGGCTAATAGATTTTCTTTGGAAGCTGAATTGTTTAACAGAATATAGCAAGTTTGACACAGAAATAAGTGTCTTCAACTTTGAAAGACTTTGACTGAATAACTGTCATATAGAGGAGTGAACAAATACTTCTGTGCTGCTGTGGGAACTCACAGATGACTTTTATTTCTGAAATCAAATACGTGATTTATCATGTGAGCTATCCAAACATGATCTCTTCTTTCATTTAGTATATTCAGGGTATTGCCTTGGCCCTGTCTTGCAGTTTTCCAAAATGGATATTTTAGTGCATGTTAAATAGAGATTTAATCTTCCAGCTTTGTTACTATGTCAGAACAGTCTGTAGGAAGAGAGCATTAATTGGCTCCAGATCACAAATCATATGAGTGTTGTTCTGCTGGCTCAGACCTTACAGCCTATCAAGCAGTATACAGCATCTTTCTCCTCTTTTTTATATTGTGAGACAGGAATAGAGATAACTGTCCTTGTCTACAATATTGATAACATTTCACATACCTATCATAACCCGTTTTATTAATCTCCTGTAAGATAAATTGTTTTTATACTTTCAATTTCTCTCCATACAGGAGATTTTCCATTTCTCTTATCCTGCTTTGCATCTTTTTCTGAACTGCCTCAAACTGTAATATCCTTTGTGGGAAATGTATGGCCAGTACTTTGCACAGTTTCCTAAAAGGGTCTCACTAATGATACTAATAATGATGTCTGTTCATATGTGTAGCATATATTATGTTTTCCTGCAGATTTTTTTTCAGTCTTTTTGGTTTTGCTCTATTTTGCAACTGTTTCTTGAAAGGATTTTGTGTAGGTAAATGAAGTCCAAGTTGCTGCTTTCTTTTCCTTATACTGGCCTCAGCATATTCCAGGGAGGATCATGACCAGAAGCAGAATGAGCTTTTGCCAGATTATTAAATCAAAAGGGCTTGGAATGTTTGCACAAAGGGAGCCTTACCATATTTAGCACTCTTGCAGTTGTCTTTAGGAGGTGGAGTGAAAATGGGGATTAAGATAACTCCCAACATGACTAGAAGTTGTTAGGGTGGACTCTGGGTATTTGCTTTACAGATTTTTAAAAAAGGTTTTAGCACAGTTTATTGGGTAATTCTGCAGACTCTTACTTCAGTTCTAAGAAAACTCAACCTAATTATAACACAACACAAGCAAAGCAGTTATTTATTAAAAGGAAAGTATTGTAGAAGCACCATGGAAACATATTGTTAAATTCAGAAATAACATGGGTTAATTTGCATATTAATTAACTCTAATTCTACCAAGTCAGCTCCTAATAATGATATCATTAGCCTGTTTAATCACAGTAAACAGGTCTTGTTACCCCTCTCTCCCATAGGCCTCAGTGCAAAGATTGGAAATAAATATGTGAAGCTTTATTTTCTCATAGAGACCAACTTTGTATATAGTGGTTATTTGGCAGGATATAAAAAGATTGAGGACAAAAAATGGCCTTTATAATTTTTAGCAGAACAAATATTATCTTGATAATATTGTATTCTACATTTTTCAGGAGGAGCATGTCTTGTGGGAAACTAACAGCATAACTAAGAAGGAATGGGTCAAAGTGAATATACAGCTACCAACTGGGCTAGAAAAGTTAAAGGTATGAATGAAAAGGGCATGTGCTCAGTTTTTGATGATGATTTACTTTATTGCTTATGTTTCTAAGAAACTTAGAAATTTGTTATAACTATGCATATCCTGAATGTCTTGGGTTTTTTCCCATCATTTTAATAATAGTAAATCTCTGGTTATACCTCAACAAATGTCTAACCACATACATCACATGAAGAAGCTGCTGGTCTTTAATAACATGCCAGAAAATGAACATAAATTTCACCTTTCAGTTAGTTAGTCATTTGAGTCCATCTCAGGTGTTACCAACTCATTTAACTGTATATACTATTAAGTGAGATGATGTGAATGATCTTTGTGGGATTTCACTGAAATTATGTAAACTGCTAATGATGAGAGGATACCTTCTCCTTGAATTTTCAGGCATAGAGAAAAGTGCTAATTTGCCACTAAATTCTTACACTAATTACAAGTTTCCATTTTAAGTAATTTTACATTTACTTTTGGTGATTTTGTAAATACACATCATATTTTAGTGTCTCAAGAATCAGCTGAAAATATAATTTCTATGAAAGAGCAAAGACTAAGCTAGTGGGTTCTGGCTGCCTGTTGTTGCCTATTTATCCTTTTCCCACATTTTATTTATTTTTAAAAAAAAAAAGCCTGCTGAGGTTGTATGTACATCAGTAGAAAGCCAAAACTATGCATTCTTGTACAAAGTCTGCAAGGTTCACTTGTACTGAGGGAAGGAAAGATACTATCTTTAATTATGTGGCTATGTCATGTTTTCAGCACAGCATTCTGCTGTTTGAACTGGTGGAGAATGGAGAGTATTAGAAGGCTTTTGTCATTTGGAAAAAAATGCCTCTAGTGGAAGATAACGACATATATCATTCTCAGTTTTTAGAAAGGAAAATGCCTCTTGAGAGTTCACTGCAGCCAGGCCGTGGGTGTTGGGGAGTGTACCAAACCCTTCTGCTTATGCCCAAAATCACAGCCATCCCTAGGTTTCTTCTGGGTTTTTTTTTCAGGTATTCTTCCCCTGTGCTTTCTGCCTCTTGCACATTACTTTCTGGAACTCACACTCTGTTCATGTCCCAGCCTGTCAAAACCCATGGCTGCATTTTTTTATTTGTTCCTCCAAATTCTTCTCTTGTTTCTCAGTGCTTTCTTTTATTGCAGTCTTCATCTTTTTGATGAATCCAAGCTTGCTTCCTCCTGTTTGCTGCCTTAATTCAGGTGAAAGGAACTTGGAGAGCACAAACTGGGTAATGTAGTTGCTTTGAGACCTAGCAGAGCTGGGCTCCGCCGTGGCCAGGAGCAAGAGGTGTTCTTCAGAACTTTTATCACAATAAATCAGCTTGTGTTAAATCTGCTCAGAGCAAGGGAACACTGTCAGAGAGAGAGAAATGCTCCTTGAATCTCTGTGTCTATGTCAATAGCAGTAAAATGAGCAGGGTGAGTGCACAGGCCCAAGGTTGGTGTGTGATAATCCATAGGATTAAAATATTAGTGTGGTCCCTAGCAAGGTTTTGACACAAACAAATTGGCCATCTCAGACAGTGCCCAGAACAGTTCTAAGATTCCAAGCAGGCAGGGACCAACCACACAGCAGAGACTGAGTTCATCCATTTTGTCTGAAGTGATGAAACATTAATCAATGGTTACGCTCTGCAATGCCAATCAAACAGGTATCAATGGTTACGCTCTGCAATGCCAATTGGTGTCCAGTGACTGTCCCCAGCCCATTTGATGCACCTAGGAGTGTAACTGAAAATTTTTCTCTTGGGTATCTGCAAAATGAGATTCTGAAGAGACTTCAGAAAAGAAGATGGAGTCTTTAGGATATTACATTTCATGACACTTTTCTAAAGCACAGGGACATTACAACTCTTCAGCTAAATGTTTGTGCGATTAAGAGTTTTTCTTTAAAATGAGCTTTTATTTAACTTCATTCTTGGAATTCTTCGAACTGTTGTAGATGAAAATTTTCAGAAATTTCAACCTGAGATAGTCACACAATCTTTCAGCTTCTGAACTGAAATTTATCATGGTTTCGTAATGGAAAGTATGCCACGCTTTTTACACATAGAACTGTTTGATGTAATAAAAATCACTTTCTCTCTGTAGTCCATTAATGCAAATATTGTAACTGTAACAATCCACAGCTTATGTTTAAAGGAACACTTCAGAGCAGAGCAGGTTTCATCTGTCTGAATGGCATCCAGCTCAGGGACAGGGAAACATCAGAGCCACAAGGATTCTGCTCTCTAGAGGAACTCACCTGCAGTGATGGGCAGACCACGGAGCCTGGATCAGCCTGTGACTGTTCTGATGGCAGCAATGAGGACCCAGCAACCTGCTGTAAGTGAACTGCATTGTCAAACCTAAACAGTTTTATTCAGCAAATCACTAGAAAAAATATTTTCAATTTCTAGGGCTGCTTTTCCCCACAATATTTAATGATGTGCAGGTTAGTGAAAATGTTCATAGCATTTTATGTCATGCATTTTTGTTCTTCCCATTGCTTTCTGTTCCTCTGTCTGTTGTCAGCATTATGTTTTAGATTCAGATAGTAATTTTTTTAAGTATCTGTTGAAATGCAGCACTTAGTATATTTTTGCTTGAATATATTCCCTATGTACCACTTTTATAACCTCTAATTCCCTAACCTGTGAGGGAATGAAATCTGCCTTGGGATTTGTTGTTTGAACAGTTTTCTAATTCAGACAGTCTGTGAGTTACTGTCAGAAAATGCATTAAGTGACATGATATTTGCACAGTGGTACAAATCATCATACAAATGGGCCACAGTTCAGAAGCTGCATCTTTTTCATTATGTTCTTGGTTGGAGGCAACTTCACTTAGAAGCCACAGTCTCTACTGCACAGTCAAGAGTGAAAGAAGATGATTTTAATTACTGGAAAATATCTATAATAATTCTGAATCATTTTGGATATCCATGTGAAATTAGTTTTAGAGACCCTGTCACTTCTAAAATTAATACTGTAAGGTATGTGTCTGTATGTATGTTTGCCTGTGGTAGTAATACTTAAATGTGTGTTGCAGATAAAAACTGTCCACTTATTTCAGATATTGATGGTGATATATATTGCTGCTGGAAGGTGCCAATTAAAATTTTGTGCATTGCTCAAGATAGCAGGGTGAAAAACACTGATAATGTTTTGTTTTCTAATTGCTTGATGAGACTTTAGGACCTATTTTTGGCTACTCTTTTTAAACTCATCATCTGAATCTTTAATTTTTTCAATTACTTAAATAACCACGTGGGAGCTGTCTCTGAAACATGCAATATGTTCAAATGACATTTTTAATAGGATGGTACATACTGTTTTATCTCTGGGTAGAATCTAAGCACAGATTAAAGTCTACAGGTGCTGTCTCTCTGGGATCCATTTTCCTTTTTTACAAGATGACCCTGGGCTGCTAACTCTGAGTGTTTGTTGGTAGGAGAATGAAGAGTCCTCTTATGCTCTTTAAGAGGAGGAATGGAATGAAATTGAATTGTACTTTAAAAATTGGACTGTATTTCTCAGCAATTTAGCGATTCCACTTCATAACAATGGGAAAGGATTGTGGCAAGTAATGACTGGGAATATAAATGAATAATTTTAAGGTTTAAAAGGAGGATGTAAAATAATTGTCACAGTTGAAGGGTAGCTGTTAATCATACTACACCAAGTGAAAAGATATAACTAAACAAATCCAGGCATGCCCTTGTACCTCGAACATTGGACATTCACACTGGGTAAATAAAAGATGAGCAAATTACCTAGACACAGTCAGTACTATAAAGATCACAATGGGTCTCCTGGGAATATTTGTTCCACCATGCTGATGTGGATGGGTCAGGAAAACTGGAGAGTGAACAGAAGAAAAAACCAGTAGGAATGGCCTAGAGGTCTCACCATTGTGGAATCTCCAGAGTTAGGGTGATGGGGCAGGGACTGATGAGAGGCACTGTCAGTGTAAAACCCCCTTCAACACCTCTGCCTAGTACTCTGCTGTCTGCTGCTGCCTCTGTAGTTACCTTTGGTTTGCCACATGGCACTGATTCTCCTCTCCCTTCAATTTAAAGAAAATACCACACTCTGCTGAGGTAAAGGGATTGTTTGCTTCATTCTGTGTCAAGGCATTTGCAGGTTGAAGAGGTGTCATGTTATTGGAGCAGTGCACAGAAGTATATTCATACTCTCAAAAGTGGGCAAAAAAGGTGCTTTTCTAAACTACAAGCAACCCATAGTAATTGCTTATTGCTCTGACTACTAACTAAGAAAGGAGAAAAAAATAATCATCTTTAAAAGAACAATAATTGCTTTTCAAGTTGGCTTATTTTAGTGGCTAATATTGTCTTGGATACTTCATATATTCCTTTTCAGTGAAAAGGACCCTAATGGTGGAATTTATCTATTCAGCAGTTTGGTCAGTTTGGAAGATTCATCTTTCTGACACTTTCCACACTTTTAAACGAATGAGGTGTAAAGAAAAAAAATCCTCCTTCGCTTTTGTCCTTTGTTCTTTTGCTTGCATTATGTCCATTTCCCACCAGATCTTGAAATTATCCTCCATGATGTTTAGAATCCACTGTATTTATCCACATTAATTTTCAATAAAAATTCCTATCTTGTACAATAATGCATAGTTTGGCTTTTATTAGGTGTTTTAGCAACTATCCTTAGACATATCCCCAGTAGTTTCCTTTGATGAAGTGTTCTCACCTACTGAAAGAGCTGTCAGATCTCCACACTGAATGAAAACAAAGGCAGACAGTTGTTACTTAACAATTTGAAGGATTTCCTGCTTCTTTGAGGATTTTCTCTGCTGCATTATAATAAGGAAGAGAAAAATGATGTTTGTCTTTGGTCATGTTGACTTGGCATGAATAGCAACTTATTATAAGAACAAATATATCTGTTTTGTAATGTTTCTTAATCTTTCTGTTTAATCTTTGCTCATTTTTACAATATATATTTAAATATGTGAGACTTAAAAGTCTCAAAAATTAGAAACTTGTCTAGGAAACACTTATGTACATGAGTAACCACCTTTATTTGTGTAATTTTGTTGAAATCAATGAATCTAATGAAAGTGACAAATTATGAAATTAATTGTTTCAGTATTAAATTCTACATTTTATATATTTCTTTCTACACCTATAGTGTTAAAAAAAAATTGTACTAGTGGCTAACAATGTAAGAAATTATGATTTTCCTACTCCTCTTATCCTGTTGAACATCAAGGGCAGTGATGGGCTCTGTCTGATCACACGAAAGATGCTGCCTTTGTTGTCATAACAACTCTTCTTGAGGTCCTAAATAGCTCGAGTTAAAAGCAAATAATAATTTATAAAATACTTCCATGTTAAATACCTTAATGAGCTAGAAAATATTAATCATAAGTGCAATCTTGATTTCTGTTTCATATTTACAATTTTTTGTTTTCCCCTGCCTATGTGGTCATTTGATGATGCCTTTTTGGATATTACTATGCAGACACTGCAGTCAGCTGCTTTGTGCAAGGTTTGGGGGGATCAGAGGAAAGAGACCTTTAAGCCTTTTTGTATCACATTGGTTTTCTCAAGACTGCTTAACTAAGGAAAGCACAATGCCTAGACATAGTATTAATTACTGGACAGCAAAACAGCTTAGTCCTGGATATCAATTTGCATTTTCTGCTTTAATGTACTAGCAATTGAAGTCTAATTAAAAATTCACCTTGTCAAAAGCAAGAGAATTCTGTAATTGAATAAGTTAACCAAGTCTCATGTTTAACTAAATATACTGCACTAAACAGAAAAACATGCACCATTGAGTTTTAATGTATATAGTGAAGCCAGATAAGAGATATTGGTATTTGTGATTTATTCTGCTCCTTAAGATTTAACTGCTCAAAGAACCTCTTTAGTCCAGGGAGACCTTTACTGTGGAGTTTACTGCCATGGTGCTTAAAGAAATATGCATTTCATTTTGGTTTTGTACAATTTGAAAAGTGGAGTAATACAAACAATCACATCTGGCTGATATGAGCAGATAAATGTGCCATGAAAGTGAGAAGTGACAAATGCATTTCAAAAGCAATGGTTGCAATGGCAGTAAGTGACCCAAAGAGCTAGGTGTAGTGCTTTGGGACCAGAAAAGAAAAGTCTCAGATTATACAATTTTCTTAGCAAAATAATTATTTGTACTCAATAAATGAAAGACTGTGTGAAAATTTGATACAATTTAAGCTGGTCTAATCTATACAAACTGAGAAAATGGTCTTTTACTTTGCAGTAAAAATTTCTAGGAGACCTAAATAATTCATAAATTTAATTCTCATTTTCAAAAATAAATTAAGTGGAAGCTTAATTCATCTTTACTTTCCATGTATTTTAAACTCTGAATACATTTGATTTTTATGCATTCATAATTGACTTTCCACTACAATTCATCTTTTAAAAAGTATATATTATTACTTTCGTAATCTATCAGCAGTTTATGTACAGGTCTCATCTTTAATATGCATAGTTTGTTGTCTTATAGGTGGTTTTGTTTATGGTTCTGAGTTTGATGCAGAAGGGAAGGGCCTGCCTGATTTGTTACCTGTATTCTGGAACTTTTTGTGCACCTGAAATATGGCAGTGAAATGTACTGGTGTTTCTTTTAGACACCTAAATACATCTAAATGCAAAACAGTCATAGCTATGGTGTTACACTGTTGTGTCAAATTCAACTTATTGATCTCTCATTGTTCTTATCTTATAACAGCTAATTACACCTTATGTGATTTTGAGACTGACTTTTGTGGATGGAAGCCACTGAGCAGAGGTGATGCTGACTGGAACATAAGGAAAGAACAAGCTCCCCTGGACAGGAAACTCCCTGGCAGAGGTTATACAGCTAATATAGAGCATGGTGAGATTTATTATTTTCCTCCTTTACATAATTGTAAATGGTCACAGACTGATAATAAAGACTGATTTGAACTGGATGATAAATAGTATGTATACAACGTAGGTAATGCATTACAGAATGCTAGTCTGATGGGAATGCTCCTTCTTAGCTGTGATGTAGTTACTACATCTTTGTAACCCTCATTAATCAGTGAGGTATGAGATGATGCATTTTTTGAGACACTGACCTGACAGCTGACTTTGTGAGTGTCATAAGCACTTTTTATCCAATAATCACAGATATTCCGTTCATGGAAGTATTACTTGGACAAACTGTGACTGCAGCTTTTTGTGGAGTGCAGTTAAATTAATCAGTATTGTCTGGGAAAAATAGACTGAGGTTTATATCCTTTAAACAGTTGTTCTGCCTTCAGCATATATTTGCCATGCAAGGCATTTGGCTGAAAAAGGTTTATTCCAGTAGAGGGCTCTTTTAAAGTATTATTCCAAAATGAAAATCTTATTACAGCATACTGCATAAAAATAAAAACATCAAGCATGTTTGTCATTGTCAAATAATATTGGCAAGTATTATGTGACTTTATTTTTATTAAAATGTAACTATTACACTGCTTCCAGTGGAGATTAAATTACCCTAAAGTCTGAGCTACAGTCCAATGCCCCTTTAAGTTAAATTTATTTAGTAATGTATATTACCTGGATTTCAGTAAGGCATTTGACACTGTCTCTCACAGCATAATTCTGGAAAAACTGGCTGCTAATGGCTTGGATGGGTGGATTCACGGGTGAAAAACCAGCTGGGTGACCAGGCCCAGGGAGTTGTGCTTAGTGGAACTAAATGCAATTGGTGGCCAATAATTAGTGGTGTTCCCCAGGGCTCAGTATTGGGGCCAGTCCTGTTTAACATCTTTATTGATGATCTGGACATGAGAATTGAGTGCACCCTCGGTAAAATTTGCAGACAACACTAAGTCGGGTAGGAGTGTCAATCTGCCTGAGGGTAGGAAAGCTCTGCAGAGAGACCTGGACTGATTTATCAGTGGGGTGAGGACAACTGCATGATGGTGTTCCCCAGGGCTCAGTATTGGGGCCAGTCCTGTTTAACATCTTTATTGATGATCTGGACATGAGAATTGAGTGCACCCTCGGTAAAATTTGCAGACAACACTAAGTCGGGTAGGAGTGTCAATCTGCCTGAGGGTAGGAAAGCTCTGCAGAGAGACCTGGACTGATTTATCAGTGGGGTGAGGACAACTGCATGAGGTTCAATTCAATAACCATCTCAATATAAGCCAACAGTGTGCACAGGTGGCCAAGAAGGCCAATGGCATCTTGGCCTGTATTGAGAATAATTTGACCAGCCAGACTAAGTGATCATCCCCCTGCACTTGGCATTGGTGAGGCCACACTTTGAGAACTGTGTTCAGTTTTGGACCTCTTACTTAAAAAAAGAATATTGAGGCCCTGGAGTGAGTCCAACAAAGGGTAACAAGGCTCATAAAATCTCTAGAAAACATGTAATATGAGGAATGGCTGAGGGAGTTGAGTTTGTTTAGCCTTGAGAAGTGGTGGCTCAGGGGTGACATCATGACTCTCTACAACTACCTGAAAGGGAGGTGTAGACAGGTGGGGGATGGTCCCTTCTGCCATGCCCGCAGGGAGAGGACCAGTTATAAGCTGAGACAGGAAAGATTCAGATTAGATGTTAGGAAAAAAGTTTTCACTGTTAGGGTGGTCAGGCACTGGAATAGATTGCCCAAGGATGTGGATGAGTTGCCATCCTTGGTAGAGTTTAAAAGTGTCTGGACCTGCTGCTGGAGGATATGCTTTAGGGTTTAGGGGTTACAACAGAGTGGCAGCCTAACGATTGGGCTTGATGTTCTTAGAGATCTCCTCCAACCTTGATGATTCAATGATTTTATGATAATATTATTATCTTCAGCCAGACCTACACACTTCTCTCCCATGTTCATGTTAAAGGAATGTCCAACTCAAGCATTCAAATGTAGAGGAACTCCAGGATGAAAAGTCTCCTGAGCAAAGAGTAGTGGTGTGCGAGTATGTGTGTTTTTGCTCTACAGAATGACTCTAACTGTGAAATCATGTTCCTTTTTTTCCCATTGGTTACCATGTGATGAAGTGCACCAAAGTTGCTGCTCACTTTTCTCAGCAACTATTTAATATTTGATTTTATTGTCTCTGTAGAGGGGGGCTGGTCTGCCTTTGTTTGTTCTAGGTGCTGGGGTGTAATGTTGTCATAACAAAGGCTGCTGGCAGAAACATCTGCTCTGCAGCCTAAGCAGCATGTTAAAATCATCCATATGGGACTATGCATTGCTTCACTTAAGCTGCCTTGTTACCTGAATCGTTACGAGTTTGGTTCAATGTTGCTGCAGGTTGAAGCCTCAAGCAGATCTTGAGGTTACCATGCCCCACCTCTCAAGACCAGTAATGTGCATTTGCCATATGACTTAGCTGAAATGGTAATTCTGAGATAGTTTTGTACCCATCTATCACTGTGACTGCCACAGTCATGGCTTTAGAACTACGACTCCAGAATCTGAGCAAGTTTTCGACAACATTAAATCAAGACCCTTCATGTTGCAACAGTCACTTATAGTACCAGAGTGTTCATGTCTCTTCTCTCCTGGGGAGGGCAGCAGGAAATTTTGATTAATGAAGATCTTAACAAGGCTACTGTAGAGCCTCAGCTGCAAATTAAAAGAGGAGCCTTTGAAGTACCCTTGCATTCCAATGAGGGGAGCAGAGCACAGCAGGCCTGTTTGTACGGGGAGCTGTAACGGTCCCCTCTTTGTGCCAGCCTTGCTAAAGTGATGCCATTATTCCCATGGGGCTGGACCTAACCCTCTGCTTCATTATGTATCCATGGGAAATAAATGGCTAAGAAGTATGACTGTGGCAGCACAATAGCTGATTTTCCAAGATGTAAGGCAATATGTGTAATATCAATGCGCAAAAAAGACTGAGACTTTAGTGTTGTTTTGCATAGACGTTCATGAAAAAGTCTCAGTATTCAGCAAAGGCAGCGCTGACGGCATTGAAAATATGCTACTTTAGGGCCCCTTGAAAATTGTTATCCTTCCCTACCTTTGTCTGAAGCACATCTGCTGTAGTTCAAATCCAAACATAGTTCATTTGCCAGAGTTCAGATTAGATCTTTAATTAAGCTTTCATCCCCACTAGCACAGAAAACAATGTCAAGTCTGTGGACCCCATGAGAAAATATAGCTTATTCCATTGGCTTCTGTGGTCTGCAACATTGTTAGCATGCTTAAAATTGGCTGGGCTGTGCTGAGAGTGAATACTGTACCCTAAAGGAAATCATTTTTGTTTTAAATTCTGTTTGAAACATTATTTAAGCCAATTAAAATGTGTCCTTTAGGGATCTCAGCTGAGCTCTGCGCTGTTTGATCTCCAGGGTGCTCTGTGTTGCAGCTCCTTTGCTCTCTCCAGTTCATGCAGAGGGTGGATGGGCATCATGCAAAGATTATGGGAAATAGTTGTAGCATTTGGAGGTTGACAATCTTTAGGTTTTTGCTTGAAGAGAGCAGATAAAACTCACTTCCAGTGGTTCTGCACAGTAAAGCCCTGGGAGAAGCCACATCTGAGCTCCCTTGGCAGGGCTCCGTGCTCAGTTCCTCAGGTTTAAGTTCTTGCAGGCACCATGATAGGGTAACCTTAGCAATGGCTTCCCAAATAGCATTTTTTCCTTCTCCCTCTTACCTTGTCTTTGAAATGAGTCATGCTAATTTTACTAGAGGGAAGAGGCAGGAGAATGTAGCAATTCTGTTTTGTCTTTGCCCACACAGACACTGGTTGTCGCAGCCTGTTAAAACACCCTCCTCATTATCCACAGAGACAGAACTGATGGCAAAACTATTTATTTTCAGCGTTGAATAAGCTTTATGTGCCTCCTGGAGTATCCAGTTACCTCTCTGGGGCAGTTGTTTGCCATTGGAGCGTGATGTATTTCTCATACTTAAAAAAAAATTCTTGTTTCCAGGAGCATTCATTCACTTAAGTGGATCACATCAGATGAACACAAAGATGGCCATGTCTCATCTGGGAAGCCCTTACCTTATCAAGCTGTCCCCTGGGCTCTCCTGCTGTCAGGTAACTGTTTGTTATTATGTGTTCCCACCCCTGGAAGTTATCACTCACCTGGTGTGCAGCTATGGTATTTTAAATGCTAAAAGTGTTGCTACTGAAAAAAGTGGCTCTATTTCAATCCCAGTGGAAGGAGTTACAGACATTCTTTGGAAGAAGGGAGATGCAGTTGACTTTTTATTGCTTTTGCTGCCAAATTTTTATATCTTATCGTCGTTATTTTTTCTAAAGCACCCACCAGGTGACTCAGATTTAAGGATATGCTTCAGGGTTTTGTATGCTGTGAGAAAGCAAGCTGGACAGGTGCCATATCAAACAGCCACTCTGTTGTTGGGAGGCTGGAAAGTCACGTCACCAGTGTTGCACTTTTTTATGGTTTGAAGTCTCTCTAGGCATTAGCTATATTGGTGTGACCTGAGAGAATTAACAACCATACTCCACACGTGTTTAATTTTACTTTACCATTTGAGGATGATACTTTTTAAGCTGATCAGTGCAATACTTGAGAGATACCCTGAAATGTTGTTTTTTGGTCAAATGTCTTGTGAGTCTGTAGAGGAATGTAAAAACAAACAGCCAGGATGGTGCTTGATCTGAGAAACTCAAAAGCTACCTGGAAAAAAAGGATCAGGAGGGCTTAAAAATAGAACAGTATTAGATGAAAAATGAAAATGCAGTTTTATAACTAGTGCTGTAATTTTCAACAAAATATGTATTTTTAAAGCAAAACTTGAATAAATATATTAAAAATGTACATCATCTCTTCACTGCAAGAAAGCATTCCCAACTATTTTTGTTGGTCCTTTTGGCCACTAAGTAAAGTGAATAGATATTGTACAATTTTATGAGTTTTTTCTTTTCTCCTGAGGCTTTTTTATTTTCCTTTTCTATAACTTTTCAGAGCTTATGCTATATTGGGGAGGACTAAGTTGTGTAGTTATGATTTTTGTTTTTTTCTTTTGCTACTGAATGATGCCTTCTCATTTAAAAAGTCACAAAGATGCAAAGACAGAGAAAGCTTGCCAAAATAATTTTATTGTGTTCAGTGGCAAAAAGAGGCTTTGGAGAAACAAAATAAAATTTAGACTGGCTGCTTCATTTTTCAGACTCAGTGTAGAACAGAAACTGTAGTTCCATTTAGGAAAACATTTTTCCAAAACTAAAATGTGAGGAAAAAAAATAACTGCACTTAGAAGCCTCCAAAATAGCAGAATTTTATTCCAGCAGGATCTAGGCTTCTTATGTTTTATCTCACGAAAGGGACCTGAAACAAGTGTTGGCTTAGCTAAATCTGTTTTACTTGAAACTGTAGCTGACTTGGACTACACACACCAATGAGTTACCAGATCTAAGCTGAACAGTTGCAACTTGCAATAGAGGAGTAGAAGCCTCTTAAACAATTTAAGAACAGTGTCTTACTGTGATTTAAAGTACTCTCTCAATTCTTGATCTTCACACGGCATCTTAGTGTTGTAAAGCATAAGAAATTAGATAGATTCAGGGTAAAATCAAGCAGAATACTGCTGCAGGGAACTCGAAGGGCCTGGCAGCATCCCATCCAAGCCCTGCATGTGCATTGCTCCTGGGATACCCAACAGCCTTGGTATCCACAGTGCATTCGTTTAGGCAGTTTCATCTCTCTTGTAGACTTTCATACTGAGTAGGTAAGCACCTTTCAGGTTCAGATTAATTTATCTTAGAAACCCTTAAGGCAAACTGGGCACAACTGATATGTGAATCAATGAATTATTCTGGTTAGATCTGTTGCAGAGTTGGGTCTGCATTCAAAATAAACACAAATACGGTGGGGATGTACATATTTTTATCCAGTTCAAAGTCAGAAAACAAACAATTTTTAAGTATGCATGTATTTAATGTATTTAAAGTTCTCAGATTCAGCAAAAGTTAAAGCAAGTTCTTACCTAGCTATACACATCTGAAAAGGGAATGTTTTTGAGGACTGGAAGCCTGGCATTCTGCCACATTTTCCCTGAAGACTTTTGTTTCTGGGAAAGAGCAAGGAGTAGGGGTTGCTTATTAGGATGTGTATTAGTGAGTTATGTACTCTGTGTATAAATGTGAGATGATGCTCTCTGTTGGATGTCCCACTGAGATGATAAAAGGATCTACATAAAGAGATCTATGTTTATTAATAGCTTTACAAGTTCTTTGCTTCCAATTGTTAAAAAAAAAAAAAAAAGAAAGAAAGAAAGAAAGAAAGAAAGAAAGAAAGAAAGAAAGAAAGAAAGAAAGAAAGAAAGAAAGAAAGAAAGAAAGAAAGAAAGAAAGAAAGAAAGAAAGAAAGAAAGAAAGAAAGAAAGAAAGAAAGAAAGAAAGAAAGAAAGAAAGAAAGAAAGAAAGAAAGAAAGAAAGAAAGAAAGAAAGAAAGAAAGAAAGAAAGAAAGAAAGAAAGAAAGAAAGAAAGAAAGAAAGAAAGAAAGAAAGAAAGAAAGAAAGAAAGAAAGAAAGAAAGAAAGAAAGAAAGAAAGAAAGAAAGAAAGAAAGAAAGAAAGAAAGAAAGAAAGAAAGAAAGAAAGAAAGAAAGGAAAGAAAGAAGAAAGAAAGAAAGAAAGAAAGAAAGAAAATAAATTGGAATTGAAGTATAACAGATTTATACTGTGCCTTTCTGGTTAATTTAAGCCTAGGAGTAATTTCTTTCTGCAACTTCTTGTAGCTGAGCCTTTTTGTAGATGTCAGCTGAGAAACATCTTCATTTAGCTTAAGGTTTTTGGAGTTGTAAAAGCAGATTTCTAGTCCCAGCTCTGTTTATGGCTCTTTCATGGACACAGTAGTCATTGCATAGTAGAACATGTAGACATTGACTTGGAGGATAGCTTTATTTCTTATAGAATGAAAACACAAGTTCATTTGGAAAGCTGTTTGATAAACAAAAGTCATCTAAATTGTTTATGGTGCAGCTTTTCAAACAGCTCATTTTGAAAAGTGCTTGTATACCTGCTCCTTTCTGTTTCTCAAGCTTTTTGGTGGAGAAAAAAATCTTGCATGTATTTCAATTTATTGCTAAGTCTCAAGAATATGTTATATAAGACATGATTTTCATGACTGAGGAAAAAAGAAACTCTATGGGAAATTGAGAGACCAGAAGAAGCCAGAAGATATTAAAAGGTGGAAGGTTTTTTTAATAGGTTATTTCCTAACCACAAATTCAGCTCCTGTTTTGATTTCATGATAATTCAAGTATTATCAAGACTCTTTCAGAGAATATTGTACTGCAGTTGAAGAAATTCTAGCCTTTCACTATGTGAAAAAGCAGGAAAGACTCAGGGGGAAGAAAAAAATTAGTCTTTGAAAATCTTATTTCTTCCCTGTAGTCCTCAGCTGAATTTTTAAATTTTTTAAAAAGAAATTAAATGTATCAGGTTTACTCTGTATTTCAGGGGACACAGAGTGAACTGGGATTCTCCCTTTTTTCCTGATATTTTCTGCTTTGCAAGCAGTTTTTGTAGCCTTATCCACCTACAGTCGTTGAGGTTTTCTCCCATATATTGGTCAATGCACTCATTTCAGGAGATGAATAGATTATTTTTAACATCTGTCTTCAGATCATTGTCATTTATGTTGATTGTGGAAATAGAAGATCATAAGGTTTCTTTCATATGAGTACCTCAATGGTTGCACTTCTGAGATTAACCTACTTATGAAGCTGTCAAATATTCAGCATTTGTGAAGAAAAATAATATTTGAGAAGTTTCTAAGTGCTTACTAAGCTGAAAAGAGTTAAGGGAGATAATATAATTCAGTCTGCATCAGCTGATAAATGCAAGTTAAAATTAGGTTGTCAAACTAAGCTCTTTCATACATCCCTTTCTTTTATGTCAAGTCTGTGTTTAGGCCTGTCCTGTTATTCTTTGTTATAATGTGCATATATGATTTGGTACTGAATTTATTGCAGATTGATGATGTAATTTTTTTAGGTGTTTCATTAAAAGGTCTTTCAACAGGTAAGATTTTGGTGCTGGTTATCCCAGGATTCCCAGCTTTCTGTCTTTAAAAGAACTGCATTGGATGGAAGTTTGGAAAAATTGCATGACATTCAAGGATGGCCTGAGATGCAGTGGACAAAAGTGAATATACCTGTAGGAGGTGCAGCTGAGGAATTACCTTTTCAGGTATTTAGAAATGACATTTGCTTTGCATTCAAAATGTTACTCTAATTTGGCCTTCAGAATGAATTAAATTTTATAATGAAATATAAAAAAGAGAATTTCTATTCTTTGATGCTCATATGAAAAAGAATTTCATTCAGCTTTTTCCATAGGTGCAGCTATTAAAAACAAGACCTTTGTTTCAGTATTCCTTGCACTAGAATAAGCTTTTGTAATAAACATCAAGTAGCAATTGTGCAGTAGCTTTTAAAACATGACCTTTCTGTAAAAACTGCTGATCACAATGAGGGCCTAAGTCCAAGAGCAGAAGAATCATAGAATCATGGAATGGCTTGAGCTGGATCATCTAGTTGCAAACCCCCAGCCATCAGCAGTGACACCCTTCACTAGATCAGGCTGCTCAGAGCTCCATCCATCCTGACCTCGAACACCTCCAGGGATGTGGCGTTCACAGGTTCTCTGGTCAACCTGTTCCAGTGCCTCACCACCCTCACAGTAAAGGATTTCTTCAGAATATCTAATCTAAACCTACTCTCAGTTTAAAGCCACTGCCCCAGTCCTCTGATCAACTTGGTGTTCCTTCTCTGGACTCACTCTAACAGGTCCATGACCTTCCTGTGATGGGGAGCTCAGTACTGACTCTATGTGGGATCTCACGAGAGTAAAGGGGCAGAATCACCTTTCTCAGCCTGCTCGTCACACTTCTTTTCATGAAGCCCAGGATATGGTTGGATTTAAAGGCTGCAAGTGCACACTGTCAACTCATGTTCAGCCTCTCATCCACCAGCACCCCATGTCCTTCTCAGCAGAACTGTCTTGATCTGTTCATCCCTGAGCCTGCATTGAGACTGGGCTTGCCCTGACCTGGATGTAGCACCTCTCACTTGGTCTTATTAAACCTCATGAGATTCCCATGGGCCCACTTCTTGAGCTTGTCCAGTCTCCTCTGGATGGCACCCCAGGCATGCCAGCTGAACCAGTCTGCTTGGTGTCACCAGCAAATCTGCTGAGGGTGCACTCGATCCCTTTGTCTATGTAATTTATGAGGATATTAAATAACACTGGCACCAATACAGGTCCCTGAAGGAGACCACTGGTCACTGATGTCCATCACAACTCTAATCACTACCCTCTTGGTGTGACTATCCAACCAATTCTTTATCCACCTAATAGTCACTCATCAAATGCATGTCTCCAGCTTAGAGAGAAGGATGTTGAGGAGGACCATGCCAAAGGCTTTGCAGAAGTCCAGATAAATGACATCCATAGCCCTTCATTGATGTGGTCACTCCGTCATAGAAGAACACTAGGTCAGTCAGGCAGGACCTGCCCTTGGTGAGCCTGTGCTGGCTGTCTTGAATCACCTCCCTGTCCTCCATGTGCTTCAACTCTGTTCCAGAATCTTCCCAAGCACAGAGGTGAGGCTGACAGTGCAGGTTCTTCAGTTTACAGCATCAAACAGAGAAACAATTAGCTCTTTTCAAGTTTATTTTAATTTTTATCTATACTGCTACACTTTGCAAAAACTTTGCTTAAACCTGTTAGGGAAATCAGCATCTAAGAATAAGGATGCAGCGAATCAAAATTCCAGTTTTGGTCTCTCTGTTTTATGTCTTCCCTATAAAATGGTCAAAAAGAAATGACATTATCAGTGATTTATGGTTGTACTTTACTCCATTTCATGATCTCCTGAATATTTCCTTGTGTTTACAAATGCATCCTTACAATCCCTACATTTACTGTAACACATGCTGTTGACTTCAGCAGGCATAGTATGGAGGACCATAATTAAATGGAGTTGTAAAACATCATATTTGGTAACCCTAAATAGCTAATTTGAGAAGATATATAACTATCATCTGTTCCAACAGGAAGGCCATTAATCCAGTAGTGATGGCTTTCACCAGTTTAGACTGAAGCACGTTCATCTGGTTTGCATAATTTTCCATAGGTAAAGGTAGTTATGGCTTTGATGGTTGAGGAGCAAATTTCTGACCTAATCAAATCTCAATTGTAATTTTCCTGTCTGGTATTCAGAGTTGTTTGTAGGCAATATTTACTTCCTGTGCAGATGTCATAAATTATAAAGGAATATATAGACATATGCATCTTTTTATCACATCACCTTTAATGAACTAACTTATTTTTTTGTCTTTACAGATTATTTTGCGAGGTACTATTCTAACAACAAATGCTACTGTTGCTGTTGATGATATCAGTGTAACTGAGGAATGTGTAGTTGTGAATAGATCACTTCCAGGTGTCAGCCAGGAAACTGAAGGCAAGTTTTGTGGGTTTCAACACATTTTAACCAATGTCTGATTTGTGTAACTGTGATTTTGAAGATTAAAGTAGAGGATAAGATGAGAAAAAAAGCACATATGCTGCAATAAATCATCTCACTGGAAGAGTTCCAGGCCAGGCTGGATGGGTCTTCAAGCAACCTGGTCTAGTGGAAGGTGTCCCTGCCCATTGCAGAAGGGTTGGAACTAGATGATCTTTAAGGTCCTTCCCAACCCAAACCATTCTACAATTACATGATTCTATGATGAAGGCTCTCATCCTGTGTTACACATTAGCTGCTATAAGTAGTTTGCACTAATTCTGAAAAGTGAGCTGTGGTAGGAATTTCCAGATACCTCTTACTATGCAGTACCAGCTCACATTCACATTTGTATGGAGAGGCAGAAATGAAACATATCTTCTACTGAAGAGCAAATTCTACTGCATTACCTGCAAGAATTCTGCAAGAGGATTCTCCCATCATTACTGTTAAATGTCTAACATAGTAAGGGCCAAACAAACTTGTCTGTTTGCACACACTCTGTAGTCTTGAAGTGACAACATGTGGAAATATGAAACAATATAAATATTGTATAAATATAATTATAAAACTGTGTCAAACTGTTGCTTCTGATCTTCTTGATATTAATAGCTACTTTTTGAAAATGGCATGGGCACATATGCAGTCAGGGGCAATGCTGATGAGTTATACCCAGCAGATATCTGAATTTCTTTTTTGTTGAAGAATATAAATATAAAACTTCAGTGTTGTGATTTAAGGCTTTGCTGATCCTTATACACAGTTAGGTTGATGCTAGCTAGGTATTTAAAGAAACATTAATTAAGTTGCTATAATCATTTTCCCT